AGCTGGTTGACCAGGTACAGATACTGTGAAGGCCCAACAGGTGGCCAGAAAGCCAAATGCCTATTATGGCAGTTTCAGCACTATACACGAAGACTTGAACTCAATCTTGCATACCTTGGCCCAGAGCCGGAAGGCAACACTACATCGTCAAGCTGCTGCAAATTTCCTGCACCAAGCACCCGGAAGACATGCATGCGATCTGTTCCAAGGTTTGGGACATACATGAAGCGTGAGTATCCGTCGAACCGAGCCTGGTGAGGACGGGAAGCGGATTGCTCCATTACATTCGGGCCGACTCCGTAGAATGAGAAGGTGAACATGGCGGTGGGGTTGCTTGCAAAGGTACCATTTGCGTTGATAGCAAAGACAGCTAGGTTGGCGCCGTTGCTGGGTTAAAATGGATATGGGGGTGAGCATTAGCCAAGTGTGTCTAAGAAGAGCGACTTACATATTAGGTACAGCAAGTGTCTTGCCGTCTCCGGATACCTCACAATGGACGGCAGAGAGGCCATTGGTATGTCCCGTGGCAATTTTGCTGACCTTTCCATCGTTATCATACTTCCAAGCACTGACGCCGCCTTCCGTCTGACCACGTGCAGGGATGTACAAGACACGCAACCACGGGTGTTTCGCGACCCAACCAGGCTGATACCCAGCGTCAAACGTAGTAGAGACATTGACTAGGGTGCTACCGTTGAACGTGAAGGTCGAGACAGCACCGGTGTTGGCTGTAATCCAAAGTTGTTGACCACCAAAGGGCCAAAGAGCCGCTGTTGCTGAGGGTGCCAAGAATGGGAGGGAGAAAAGGAGACTACGAGCCATGGTATGGGACGTCAATTAGGGGGTATCGGGGGCCTCCCTGTGAGCTTGAGGGCGGATCTTTAACATACCGGGGGTGTGAACAACCACGAAAGTCTAGGAAGGTGTCATCTCGTCGGGTTCACTACTGTCCATAGGAGTGGTTTGGGCGAATGGCCATTTCAAACGCATATAGTCCGCACGAAGATTGCCGGCGTTCCTCCGGCCCGGCTCGCGTGTCGCCGCCAAGCCACTGGCCTCATCGCGCCTTAAGACGGTCTGTCTGTGTGCATTCTAACTGTAGCAATGAGGTACAGGTTCTGAAAGCCTGGCTAGGGTGTATTTAAGAGACTTATCTGTCTTTGCGTGTTGCAAAACCTATGTTTCTCGCCGCCCTGGTGACAAGAACGAGTTTCATCCTGTTATTAGCAGATCTTCAATGCCATAGGAGGACGAGTGCTGATAGTACCTGCTCGATCTTCTTGGCAGATAAGAAGTTCGGGGGTCTTGAGTTTTGGGAGAATGGTTCGCAAGCTGACGTGGCAAACTTCCTTGAGATTGGATATTATAGCCCCCAATTGCTATATAGACAAATGACTACGATTGTTTATTGGGTTTGTGCAACTATAGCTACATGGTATTTCGGTCATAAGAGCATCAAGTCGTGAATAAACATCCAATCTCCCGGAGCGCTCGCACTCATGGTTGGTCCAATCCATATTTTTGCGCCTCTCTACGAGCCTCGCGTGTCGCTTTGACATACGATGTGCAGTCCAGAAACTGCTGGGCAAGCATAATGAGCGCAAGCGTTTGACCAAATGTCCAATCTCGTAACGATTGGTTCGCGTCCGGATTCCGAGCCACCATCTGTTCTATGGTGATAATCATATATATCAAACCCACAAGGCCACCAAAGCGGTTGACATGCGTAATGCGGCTCCCTAGGGATCAAAACATAAGCACCACAGTGGATGAGAGCGGCTGACCACCTACCTCTCTGGCTCCTTAGACGTTGCCATCTCGCGAGGTCTTCTTGGGCCTTTTGCTTTGCCTTTTCTGAACCCATAAACGCGTATTCGATCGCCCAGCGAACAGTAGTCCAGAGCGCGCAGAGTGCAGCAAGAGCTCCAAAGCCAAAGGTGAAGAGGGCGAAACCGCGCAGCCCACGGCTTGTGGCACTAACGCTGTGACCTAATACAATGAACTGCGTGCTTTCGTTTGCTGTACAGTTCTGCATGTTGGGAGGGAGACTGAATGTTGAAACATTTGCCCAGACTTGAAGACCCCAGTAGCACCAAAACGAGGTGAAGAGCAGGCTTGCAAGGTTGATAGACAGGCCAAGAGTGCGAATCTATTATGCCGTTAGTGCTCAGAACGAAATCAATGGGAATAAAACTCACGTAGGGGCCGTTGACGGTTACAAAAACAGTCATAAGGGTCGTGAGCTACACATACTATCGGGATCAGACGACAGCAGGCGGTCCTATAGCAAAAAATTACCATCGACGTAATCAGTGCATCGAAAAGGCTGAGCTGGTTCATCTTCCAAGCAGAAAGCGTGGCCACGATGAGACTCCCAGACACCACATATGAATTTCGACAAGTATCTCGAAACGCCTTTTCGTTGTCCCACAAGAAAGATGCCACACACTAGTTTCGAGGCGTTAGTCTAGATCAGTAAAAGGGCCCACGGACACTTGCCATGCTTAGGAACGTTTGTACGTAGATAGCTGATCTGACCTATTTTGTCGCAAATTTAGATCAAGGCTGCGGCGGACGACCTGTAACTTACACCTATGCCCTTTAGTAACCAAAATCGTCATTTCAGGCCCCGGGAAATAATTGTTTGATATCACTTACCGAAATATCAGGGTTGTACGTGATCTGCATGCAATAGTCGGGTGTATCGTCGGCGCTGCACGACATGACTACTTAACCGCGATCAAGAATAATCGAAGGGTATACACTGGAGCAAATTCAGGCGGGAGAGAAGGTACTGAGGGCAACATATCGGTGTGTGCTGGAATTATATTCAGTAGGAGAGGGCGTGCCGTTCTGGCGGGTGGCAACCAGCTGTGTCTTTGCCGGTGACAAGTACCTTTCGTCGCCGGAATAGGAAGTTGTTAAGGACGCAAAAGTCACAAAGGTTCATTACAAGATCGGACAAGCGTCCAAATGGACAAGGCTCTTAGATCTGGTGCACGTGAAATGTGTCGAAGGTGGTGGTTGGTGCATGGTTCGGCGCTTGTTTGACAGGTATAAAACCAAAATACATTAGTTGTGACCAAGGGTGACACAGGTATCATGGTATATACAACAAGCACAGGAGAGCAAGAAGCCTACAACAGGATCTAGCAGATAAAACCGTACTTATGGATGATCACCACGACGCTGTCTGCTCCTTTCTAACTGCTTATGTTTCTCTATAATGTACTCTTTCAAGTACGAGAAGCAATCCATGATTTGCTGCCCAAGCATAATTAATGCAATCGTTTGACCGTACGTCCACCTACTCAGGTCGTCTTTTACGTTTGGATTACGTGCGACGATCTGTTCTGTAGTGACTATCATGTAGATCATGCCCACCATACCACCGTATCGAGTGATGTGTTGAGCACGGCTGGTGGAGTTCGTGCCTAGTGTTAAGAATAAGCAAGCTGCGAGGGATAAGAAAAGAGAACGAATACCTCGATTCTTTCGGCGGATCTCCTTCGCATACCGTGTAGCCGCGTTGTCCTTGGCTATTTGTGGATCTCCAGCGATATACCTGACCAGCCATGTAAACGATTTCCACAGCGCCGAGATCGCAGAAATGGCCCCAATAGCAAATATGAAGATCGCAAATCCGCGTAACCCACGGCTGGTAGCGCCAACAGTGTGCCCAAAGACCACAAATACAGTTTTCTGGTTGGCTGTGCAGCCTGTTTCACCGGCGGGGAGGCCAAAGTTCCATGGGTCCACCCATATTTGGAGACCCCAATAGCACCAGAAAGTGGTAAACAGTAAACTAGCAATGTTAATGGATAGTCCCAGAGTACGAATCTGGAGGTTTGTGAGCATCACGAGACCCGCTTCAGTGGATGAGACGCACATAGGGACCGTTGACCGTTACAAAAGCCGTCATGATAGTCGTTAGCTATACATATGGTAGGGTTAGTTGGTGTCATACGCCTCGCATGGTGACATACCATGGTCACTACAAGACCATCGAAAAGGCTTAGGTTGTCCGTTTTCCACGCAATCAGAGAAGCGATTATCAGACTCCCGGATACGACGTAGGAGTTTCGAGAGGTATCCCGAAACGCTTTCTCGTGGTAAGGCAACAGAGACGCAACCGTCTACACTTGGGGGGTTAGGCGCCAGTGAAAAGCCAGATCTCGCCCAACTCACCATGCTGAGAAACGTCTGAGCATAGATAGCGACACGGACCTAGAGACTGAGTTAGGTGCACGCCATGAGTCCTACGTACACTCTGGCTTACCCCGATACCCTAGAACAACAAACAAATTAGGTTCGCCAGCGGGCCCCTTCAGCGAAACGGCACTCACCGAGATATCCGGATTGGCAGTAATACCATTACAGAAGTCGTCATCTATGGGCGGAAGGCAGATGAATGGATTCGAAGAGTTGGACATAATTCAGGCGGGTGGGAGCAAAGTTGCCGCACTGAGGCTTATATGGTGAGGGGCTAAGCGCTCAACGTACCGCCTTGAGGTGCTGATGGCTTTTCATTTTCGACAATTGCAAATAGGCCAAACACCGCATTCACCGCGAACCAAGGAACGACTTCACGCTCACCCAAAGGTGATCCACAATCAGTTTCAGTTACATAATTTCGAGTACGATGAGAAAGTCTGGCTAAATTAAATACAAGGGTATACCGCTAGATCTAATGCAAAACAGCGCGACCCCGCATGTGCTTTATAGGAAGCTAAGCGCTGACAACACCTCGAACGCCCACCCCAACTCGTGTTGATCGAGGCCACCCTTTCGCGCTCTATGCTATGCCCCGTGCGTGTGTGGGCCACTTTGTGTAGTCGCCCACCCACTAACGACTCTTGGCCACTCTGAAGCTTACGTTGGAAGGGGTAACCCACACGGGATGACCCAAGTCTCCGATGATGTTATGACCGAGAACAGTACGCGAAATTTATCGACCACAGGTAAGGCCCATGAAGCGAAGTGGTAGGGATTTTAATAACTCCCGCTTAGCTCAGTGGTAGAGCGCGTCACTAGTAAATATCGCTGGTCAAGCTCGTGCAATTGGTTGTGTGATGACGAGGCCGCTTGTTCGAGTCAGGCAGTGGGAAAATCTTTTGGGTAATATGGACCTGTTCGGGTCCCAGGAACACGAAAACCTTCTGCCATTTTGGGACACATTTTCCTATTTCAATTTTTTAACACCTACACTGCCATGGCGAAACTGACCTGGGATCTTAAACGCATTTATGTTCGGTTTTTCTAGCCCTCCGTTCAGAGGTGTTTCAGATACTCCACCATCCAGTGTTCACCAAAAGCCCTGCGCTTAACTACAGGCTCCCAGTACGTGAGGGATCAACAACAGTGTTCGAAACAAAATTACCGAGTCGAAATTATGGTGAAAAGTAAGCTAGGAGTCTGAAATGGGTAAGACATCCCCTGCATTCACTGGTGCTTCTATTCTCGGTTTTTGGTAGCAACCCGAACGCAATTTTTCGTGGTCAAGTATGACTCTAGCCAGCTGCCTTGCGCTTTGAATTAGGCTAACGGGACTATTTTTTGCTCTTGGAATGTCCCTGTTGCATGATCTTATGAAGACATGATCACCTTCCTCATCACACAATAGTCTTTTGACATGGCTCTGCTGAGGTTATTCTCAGAAAATTGTTGGCTGTTATGACTGGGTTTTCGCTCTCGCTAGACGGTTCTGGTGGGTATATCCGCGTGGCGAGTGCCGCTGTTCCACCAAGAGCTTGGCGCTTAGGGTTTACAATTTGACATCTTTCCTCGTCCACCATCATGTTCAAACGAATCAACAAGCGTCTTCGAAAAAAGGAAAAGGAGGAGGCAGCGGGGCTCGATGACGAAACGAAACAAGTTCTCGGAATGCACGACACCGACTCGGACGAATCCGATTCCGGCTCTAGTTCTGGGCATGATAGCTCTCGAGACTTGAGCGATTCTGATAACGCGGACACACCTGTCATCCGAGAATATTCTGCAGGCAAAAGGAGGAGAGAAGTTTCGGATGATGAGGACTCTGGACCAGAGGATGAAGGCGAGGATGATACTGATGATACTGCGCCGCCAATGTCAGTTTCCGAGGCTCTATCCAATCCGCTCTATCCAGTACGGACAGGCTCCGATGCAAAGGTGTGCATACTATGCCCGGGGAAGGAGCTCAAGCATAGTCAGATGGTTTCGGTGCATGTGGCTTCTTCGGTAGGTGAACTAATATCCTATAATACGTTTATTAAATGCGAAGCTAGACCCATCTGCGGAGAATGAAACGTTTCGCGACTTTGGCGGCTCGTGTGGGAGATGATAACGAGGACCCGAGGCTGCTAGTTGCTGCCTTGGACGAATCTGTACGTATTGCCCCACATGCAAAGGCCGAGAAACCGGTGAGTGCCAGGTGTGGCCCGCAGCGTGATCTAACGTCGCGTAGGTTGAGCCCCAGATGTCCAAAAGAGAACGACGCATGGCAAAACGACAGCGTCGGCGGGAACGTAGGGATGCTGCGTCCCCACCAAAAAAAGACGACAAAGAACCGCGAACCCACTCTAGTACACCGGGTCGTAATGTTCCTGGTCGCACTGTCATACAAACAAAAATTGCGCGCAAAAGGGCAGAGTCTGTGAAAAGGCACAAAATGGTAGGTTCCATGCTCCACGCGCCAGGATATACTCACGCATTTAGTAGGCTAATCCGCGAAAAAGTGGTCACCTGCGTAAAAATGCCCGATTGAAGACGGTCTCTGTTTGATACCAGGCTGTTTTGCTTGGCGGTTTCGACATTTCTGATCCAATTACTCACGTTAATTTATCACACTTGACAAGATGCTCCCGCGAACAATCCTTTAGAACGCTCGGAGAAATATGCCTTCGTAGGAACGTTTCCCATCAGTCATGAGGTCCTCTGAGCAATTTCCCCCACATCCACAAGAGGCTTCATATATTGGAGGCTGATCCAGATGAGGATTTATCATTCACATCTCGGGTATGAGCTAACCGGTTCAGAACACATGGCATTGACGTCGCTCACGTGTATCCGCCTGTCAGTCTTCCTACCACGTCCGATCAGCAGTTCCAGAATCCGTTCTATCAATATGCGTCCGACGCCTAAACCAAGTTCTTACGCGCTCGTGCCCCTGTTAGCAGCGCCCAGGTGACCAGCCGGCCCCTGATTCACATGAGTACGACTGTGACAGGCATCTTCCCCATCTTCGCGTCGAACGACGTCGGTAAAGCCAGACGCGTCTTTTGGAACACATACGCACTCGCTACCTATTCCGCATATTCAAATTTTATTCGCATCCGCTTGTATAAATAGTCGCGCCGACTGGCTGTCATTCTTTACCACATCCTCTCTTCTCTCGAGCGATGCGCATCCTTGCCACTGCGTTCACGTTCGCCACTGCGGCGCTCGCTCTTGTACCGAGCCTCGGCCGTCGTCAGTCGTCCATCGACACCTATATCACGACTGAAACCCCTATTGCTAAAGCTGGAGTTTTGGTGAGTAGAATTTGACTGTGAAAAGCACCTTTTTTGACGCAATTGTATAGGCCAACATCGGTGCGGATGGCTCCAAGGACCAGGGTGCAAAGTCTGGAGTTGTGATTGCGTCTCCTTCCAAATCGTGAGTTCAACACAACATTCGGGGGTTTCTGTTTGCTGATCTACTGCATAGGGACCCTGATGTAAGGCTTCAACCTCTATGATTCTGCAGTGGTTGTTTATCCTTTCGCAGTACGTCTACGCATGGACCCGCGACTCTTCCCTCGTATTCAAGCTCTTAGTCGACCAATATACTCAAGCCCGCGACACAAGCTTGAACACCCAGATCCAGAACTGGATTGCTTCGCAGGGACGCATCCAGCAGGTCTCTAACCCCTCGGGTAGTGTTACTTCTGGAGGATTGGGTGAACCCAAGTACAACATTGATGAGACTGCCTTTACTGGAGCTTGGGGTCGCCCGCAGCGTGATGGACCAGCTGTGCGTACTGTCCTCGTCGAGTACTGTGCCTTTACTTATTGCGTTGTTACAGCTCCGGGCTACCACCATGATCACATATGCCAACTCTTTGGGCACCACCAACTCTTATGTCACGGGCACTATCTGGCCGCTTGTCAAGCTCGACCTCGACTATGTTGCTCAGTACTGGAACCAGACCGGTAAGCATTTCATGTCCAGAGGTGCTATTTATACTAACTCCTGCTAGGTTTTGACTTGTGGGAGGAGGTACAAGGTTCCTCTTTCTTCACCACTGCCGTCCAACATCGTGCGCTCCGCGAGGGTGCGAAGTTCGCCACTGCTCTTGGCGACTCAACCCGTGCATCGACGTACACCACCCAGGCTGCAAACGCGCTGTGCTTCCTCCAGAGCTACTGGAACCCCACTCAGCTTTACGCGTCCTCCAACGTCAACGGAGGGTCTGTGGTTCGTTCCGGTCTCGACGCCAACTCGATTTTGGCCAGCATCCACACGTTTGATCCCGCTACTGGCTGTGATGCTGCGACCTTCCAGCCGTGCTCGGACAAGGTTTGCAGCTTCATTCCTGTCTACAAATCAGGTATTGAATGAATATCTATAACAGGCTCTCGCCAACCACAAGGCCGTCGTTGACTCGTTCCGTTCTGTCTACTCAATCAACAGCGGCAAGGCTGCCAGCGCTGCTGTCGCTGTCGGTCGCTACAAGGAGGATAGCTACTACAACGGCAATGTAAGTTGATCGCTCGCATGTCTCCAAACTACTACTCACACTCGAATAATTAGCCTTGGTATCTTTGCACTACTGCCGCCGCCGAGCAACTTTACGATGCCCTGTACACTTGGAACAAGCAAAAGTCCATTTCGATCACATCTACCTCTCTGGCTTTCTTCACCCAGGTGAGTTTACTACCATGGCGCGTCCGAATAGCGTTTGACCCACTTGAGTTTAGCTTTATTCCAGCGCAGCTGTTGGCACATACGCTTCTACCACCACCCAGTACACCGCCATCGTCAACGCCGTCAAGACCTACGCCGATGGCTTCATTGCGATCGTGCAACAGTACCAGGGCTCCGGAGGCGCTCTTGCCGAGCAGTTCTCCAAGACCAACGGAGCTCCACTCTCTGCTGTCGACGTAAGCACAAATATGTCGTTGATCCTTGGGGTCGTAGCTCATAACCTCCCCCCAGCTTACCTGGAGCTACGCTGGGGCCATCACTGCGTTCGAGGCGCGCGCTTCCAACGTTCCCGCATCCTGGGGAGCCTCTGGCCTTACCGTTCCGGCCACTTGCTCGACCGGCGGTGGAGGTGGAGGAACTGTCGCGGTCTCCTTTACGGTCACTGCTACGACCGTCTTTGGAGGTTAGTACGCGTTAGCATTAGTTGACGTGCATTTACTCATTCATTCTGCAGAGAACATCTACCTCGCTGGTAACCAGGCTGCGATCGCCAATTGGGACCCCAACAACGCGCTCATCCTCTCGGCCAATAGCTACCCGCAATGGAAGAGTAAGTCCATACCCTCCTCGCTCGTGCTTGCGCTAATTGGGTTTGTGCAGTCACTGTGAACCTCCCAGCCAGCACCCAGATCCAGTACAAGTACATCCGCAAGTACAACGGCGCGACGACCTGGGAGTCTGACCCTAATCGCTCGTTCACGACTCCTGCCTCTGGCACCTACAGCGTCACCGACACTTGGCGGTAAACAAACCCCGGAGAGCCAAGGGCGCTAGCTAGGAAAATAGAACACCTGGCCTATAGAGACTTGTAAATGAATGTACTCTTAATATAAATTTGTTTGGTTTCAGAGGATTGGTGAATAGCAACATGTAAACAACACTCTATAACCAATGGTACACAGAAGTCAAACCCGCTCTTCAAAGAGCGTCCGAAAGTACTTAGCGTAATTCACCTAGACTATTGCAAAGCTGCAATTACTTTGTCTGTCATGGTGATCAACTATTCAAGCAAGGTCAGTGTTCCCTCATGAATCGTGCAACAAATCGCCTACCTGATGAATGTCTGGCCGCTCATTTGGATCAACTTTTAAACACGCATCGATCAACCCAATAAACCCAGGGCTCCACCTCCCCGCACTCTCAGACGGGTGCTTGTACTTTC